TGTTCCAGTGGTGAAATGATTGCTCAAAGGTGAAGAGAAAATTGCAATYTGAGCTTTTCAGAGCTTCCAGACCAGGTGTGCATTGCTGAGTCAAGAGCAGGTATTGACAAGTCACTTCTTGTGCAGCACTGACASTCTTACTCTTCAGCAGAGGCATGTTTGAAACCATTAGCAGTCATTAACACAAGCTTGCAAATGACTRACTCTAATTCTATGAGATTTGACTTCATAGAACTCGTTTTGAAAAGTCTTAGACCATGCAACGTAACTGCAAAGCAGCATGAGTAGGGATTGCTTATGGAGAGATGGCTCTCCAGGTTTTTTTGAGCTTGAAATCATGTTATCAGGTGCTGTGTATCAGCAGCATGCAGTAGAGGAAACTAGGCAGGTGTGTAACWGCTTTTAGAAGAAGGAAGGACATTGTTGACTACAAATTATATTGTTATAGCTAATCCCAATGCATTTAGAAGTTCTAAGAAACAAAGTCAATTGGATTAAAATACATAATTTTGAAGAGGAATTCCAAGTTACTAAAAAGGAAGAGAAAATATTTTTTAAAAAAATTGTCTGGATCATAAAATAACTGCTGTAATATAAAATAGTGCTATGTATTACTCTACAGCCTGACTTYTATTATTTTGTTGAGGTAAGTAATGTTTTTCACCTGTCTGCTGGAAGATGTTAGAAGGTTTTGGCTTGTTTGAGTAGAAGTAAGATAGTGAAGTTGTCCTGCATATTTTTTGAAACCAAGCTACTTGCAGTATAACAGACTAGTGATTACTTAGATTTAGCCTTTACAGAGTAACACACACACACACACCTTATTTTATTTTTTCTGAGGCTGTTTTTACCTCCACAAAACATTGCTAGGCAAAGAGAAACATCATTGCTGGAATGTGCTAACAAGAATTTAATAAAGATGGAGCTGTGCAGCAAGTCTCTTCAGAGTTGATTGAAATAAGTATTCACTCCAGGAGTTGAAAGCTGAGCACATTAAACTATTGCCGAAGGTCTCTGTCCTGCCTTTTTTTGACAGCAAAAATGCCCTTGGAAGAGGATATTTCACATCAYGCTGAAGAAGAGTATTGAATACATTGTGAAGTGGGGGGTCCCATCATAGTTGTAAATATGCAAGTAGGGTTTTTTATGCTGTTAGTTTCTGTTTGCCCTTTGAGATGTTCAGAGGCTGAGGTCATAGCTTCATGAGCATTTTTCTGGCAGTAAGGCTTGGCTTTAAGAATCATCCATCACTTTTCCTACCTCTCCATTCTGCTTGTGTGGCAACAGAATGGAGAATCAGAGAGCTGACCTAGATTAAAGACAACCTTGTTTTATGCAGCTGCATGAAGTGGTGTATTGTAGGAGTTGGTTGATGTTGCTAGGGAAGCACATGTATGATCACMGAACTTCAGTGTTAATTAATGATACAGGTGCCAGTTGCTTTTCAAACATAATGGTAACTTTGAAATCTGCATAGACACTGAAGAGAGAAGTTAAAATGGCAAGCTTTAGCCTAAGGACAGCAGCCTCTTCAAGTCATCTCTGCAGTCCGTGAAGAAAGACAGAACTTCCCCTGGTTCTAGGGTTTAGTTTGACCTCAGTCTTACTTCTTCGAGTGGGGTACAGAAGAAAGAAGTAACGGTTATCCTGTAAATGGGAAAACTCTTTCAATCCATTGATTTTTTTTATGCAGCAGAGTGCAAAGCTGGCATCCATATCAATAGTCAATATTTGAAATACATTAATTCTGCAGAGTTTTGGGAAATAAGCTCTCTGCCTGTTGCAATGGGGACCATTCAGACCCTTTTGTTTTCCATCACAAAAGCTGGTCCTAGGAACTGGACATATGTGCTGATTTATTTGTTTTGTTTGGTTCAGTGAYTGTGGATTGTCAGCATTTCACATCAGCTACATTACTCTTCTGATAGCTGTGAGTATGGATAAAGTTGGGAGAATTTACAGAATCACAGCATTGTGAGGGTTTGGAAGCAACCTCTGGATGTCATCCAGTCCAASCCTCCTGCCAAGGCAGGGTCACCTAGAGCAGGTTACACAGGAATGCATCGAGGCTGGTTTTGAATGTTTTCAGAGAGAGAGAATCCATGACCTGCCTAGGCAGTTTTAAGAGATATAAAAACTCTAATCAGAGCTTAGGATCCTTTCTTCAGTTCCTCTTACTCAGTGGTAAAATATTTGTTAGRAGAAAAGCACTGAGTAGCCTCCTGTAATGAATAGGATGTTGATTTAATTTGCTGAGTATTTCGCCTTGAATTCACTGAACTTTGTTATGCTTTTTATGTGGAGTATAAAAATGTTAGTGAGACAAATATTTTTTGCATGTTTTGGTGGCAGACTTCTGCACAGACTAATGTTGCATATTTTCAGTGAACTGATAGTAGTTTGAGCATAGATTGCAGAGACACTGGTTCCCACATTCCCCCTATTTTCCCTCATCTTGGAGTCTGCTGTCAATATACAGCAAAGCTTTTTTTCCCGAGAATGTTACTTTAAAAAAAAAGAAGAAGAGAAGCAGCTATGTCAAGTCTTGCCTCTGGGTGAATTTCTGAACTGTCTGTTCTARGAGATACCATTTCCTTTGTTCCAAGTGCATAAACTCAGGGCTTTGCTGAGGAAGGGCAAAAGCACTGTCATCAAAGAACACACTTGCATGGATTTATGTCACTTATCAATGAGCAGTTACCCATTGATGCTCACAAGCAGTTCATAATTCAATCTGAGTAGACGTTTTTGTGGGTTCATATTCTTTGTCTGACAAAATGCCGCTAACACTTTTGCCAAAGGCAGTGTTTTCCAAGGTTTAGCTTCCCTAGTGCCAAGGACTCTTCAAAAGCAGTCCAAAAGCCAAGTACTGGTGGGCATAAAAGCCTACTGTGGCAATAGAAAAGGCTTTAAAAACTTTTGTATTTGTTCACACAAGTGTTGTATTTGTTCACACAAGTGTTTCAGTGTGGAAAATGCTGTCTTTAAGCTTCATTAACTTCATAAGACTGAAAACTGAGAGTTCAGTGTTTTATGCATTTTTTTGCATTCAAATTTTGAGACAATGAGCATTAAAGTTAAAATGCAGATTACATGCAAGGAAAAAAAAAAGGGTTTTCACCATGAGTGCTGTGAGACCTATAACTCTGCAGCACTCCARCATAACCCAAGATTGAAGTTTGAAGTGAGCCATTTATAGAAAAATGCAAAATTCTTTGAGTAATACACAAGAGGATTAATTGGCTATTAAAAAAAAAAATTACTAATAACTGTAAGCTGCAAGACAAGGATGTCTTTGCCATCCTGCATTGCCTAAAATCTTTCAGCACTATCCACCTGTCTAGGATGGATGCAGTGATAACACTTCTAAATTAMTGCTGAGAATTTTTCCAAATCCCACACTCATTACTTCACAAACAGTTCGATGTAATGAAGTATCTATTCTGTCAGGCAGGGTGAGATCTGTGTAACAAAATGTGGAGTGGTAGAGAGGCTGGAACTAGATGATGTTAAGGTCCCTTCTGGCTCAAACCATTCTGTGATTCTATGAATATCTCCAAGTACTGAAGTCCAGGATTGTAGGAAATGGGACTTGACTTTCCAGTAGGTATCAGCCATCAAACGTTGAGTATGTTCAAGTTCAACATTAAGAAGTATGTAAACAACATACATGGTGCTTGCAGCAGTTCTGTTGTGCACAAAAGATACAAGTGCAAATGTTAATACAGAATATGCTATTTAAATGGGAAACAAAGAAACTTTGTGAATCATCACAGTATGGACATGAGCTCTTCTTTATAGTTGTTCCATAAAATTCACACAATTTTATAAGCTGCTCTTATAAAAATAACACAAGCTGAATTCCAGAGTTGCTTTCACATAAGAACCTATGGTCTCATACAAGGGTTGTGTGAACGATTTCACTTTGCAGTGCTATTGCTTGACAAATTCTAGAACTGCAACATAGGACTAAGTAAGTGTTGGATTTCTGTGATAAAATTTAACAACCTTTGAAAATTTAACTTGGTTTATGTAGTGGTTTCCCAGTTTTCTGTATTCCAGAATTTTTCATTCAGCTTCACAGCAAATCTGGCCCTGATCCCTTTACATGTCTACAAAAGCTTTGTTAATACTTCTCTTGTTGAGTCTTGGTGAGTTCCCCTACCTGCTGTGATTCACAGATGAGAGAAGCAGTGAGGAGTGTTTTGTCCCCCAGGCTGCAGGTGTGGGGTGGGGGCTACATGTCCTGGGCACCTCGGAGACCCCCCCCAGGCCTGCACTGGGGCATTTGGGGAGTGATTGGGTGGGGCCCAGGATGTGCAGCTTCTCTCTGGGACATCTTAGGGATGTACACATGCATCTAGTCTGCAAATTCAGCATTCTAAAAACCATGAGCTGGTCTGAGCTCTGTAGTTTGAGGGAGAAYGTGGTTCCTACAGCCAGTGGATGTGTGGCAGGCAGGGAGAGTGATGTGCTCGAATAGGAAACAGCAGAGGATTGCAAACAGCAGTCTGCTTCTATCTGAATGTTTTCTACGTTTGTCATCCAAGCAGAGGGGATTGCAGAACTTTAAAGAATTAGGGGGATTTTAAAATCATCTGTTTTAAACTGTCTTAGTAGTGTTGTGGTGGACTGTGCTGTTAACTAAAACTTGCCATTTTATGCATGGATTATTCCGTTTTTAAAAGTGGAGTCAAATTACTACCTGTGATTAAAGCCTTGTGAGACAGACTGCATTTACTTCAAGATGGATTTTGTTTTGCCTAGGAAAGTAGGAGTGACCAGCCAGTCCTGATGTCTGTAAATTCTTTGAGGTCTTAGTAACTTTCTTGATTTTGTTCTGTCTTGTTTGTGTAATCCAGAAAATACTCTTCTTTGTAAAAAAAAAAAAAAAAACTTCAAGCATTGAAATAAGGAAATTCAGGCTGTTACTGCAGTCTTAAATCAAAGCCACTGTAGTGCACATACATTTCTTAAAAGACTTTTTTTTTCCCCCACAGACCTAAAGACTTTCGAAGGAAGTAATAACAATAAAAGAAGTGCCATCACGAGTGTCTCCCCTCCATCAAAGAAAATTCTTCTAACATGGAAGCATCTGTGCATCTCAGTCAACTATTCTACACTGAATGTTTCTGAGGGCTGTTAGCAAACTTACGGTGTTTGAAACTGCTCTAAGAATAGATACTGTCTTGTTAATACCATCTGTACTGTGTAYTGTATGATCTGGTATTTGTTTATGACATTTGGTTTGATACTGTTATTAAAGACTTGAGACCTTTTTAATGAAAATTTGCATAGAAACAACACATTGACTACTGAAATGAACTAGCTCGCTCTTTAAGTTGCAAATCTTGAATTCCATGCCAGAGGAGCAGAGAATGATTATGGTCACCAGCCATAATTTTTCATCCTTGAGCTTTGGCCATCTTTTGATACATTGTGTTCTAAGGAACAAAATGACAACTAGTTATTTTTCAATAATTTGACTTTTTTCAGGCTACTATTCATCTGTATCTAAATCTTGGGTGTGCTGAATGACAACCGCAAAACTGACTCTACTTTCTAGCTGCTGAATGTTATTAAATGTCTTCCCAATGGGGTTTCATTCTTAACGTGGAGATGTTGCATGACTGTCATTGGCAACTTCATAACSATAAGGTTCTGTCTGCCTTGGGAAGCAGCCAGGCAGAGCTGCTCCAGCTGGGCATAGCTTTTGAGGATGGCACACTGGACTCCAGTGCTGCTCACACCAAAACACCCATTTCAGGATGTGCAGTGTATTTTCTGAAGTGACTCTTCCTCACTAGGAGGGCTGCTGAGGACCAACTGTAGAATAGATTTCATTAAAGAGCTTGTTGAAATAACAGGCAGTAAAGGCAGATCACAGAGAGATACTCTTCCTTTTCATTTTATTCCCTCTTAAGCCTAAATCGGATTTTCATTCAAGTCAAAATAAGCAAGCACATGCCTTGCTTATTTTAAAGAACATATTACAAGACAAAGCAGCAACATTTTTATTATGAAAGCCGAATGAGGAAACCAAATTTAAGTGTTGAATGATGCAAAAAAGTCTTAAAAATACTTAGCTTTTGCAGGTTACTTCCCTGAAATTTCTTACTGCTTTCCTACACTGAAATCTCTCAAGGCAAAGCTATTCTGTAAATAAGTGAAGCACCCGTTGTTTTCTGTGCTGTAGGAAATGCTGATAACATAATATGCCAAATTTAGAATGTTAGGTGAGGAGAATGAATATTCTGCATCTCTTTCATACAAGTATCATACCAGAAGAAAAATACTGGTTTTTTTTTGTAATCACATTTCATTATGCAAAATAGTGGTTTGGTAGAGGGTCTTTCTTTAGCATCCAGATGAGCTTATCCCAGGAAACATTCCTACCTCATGAATGTGCAGCTGTCATTTCCCAGTCAGTAACTATATTTCATTAACTAGGGAAAGTATTTTTAAAAGCCCTAGATTGCAATATATCCTCTTTTCTGTGGAAGGACACACTACACAGGGTTTATTGGCAAGATCTTTGTGGCATCAACTGTTCATGCTGTGCTGAATACTCCAGTCAGTGCCTCAATTTCTTAGGTGGTCTGGAAAAAATACGAAACACTGTTGATTATTCAAAGGCTGGATTTTAGAGACAATCTTGACTGACTGTGTCTTAGTTTTTTTTGTTTTTTTTTTTTTGCAAAGATGCAATTCCTGAATAATATTTTTATAATTGGGTAGTGCTCACTAGTTAGTTACTTTTCATTACCATGGTATGTCCAGCAAGTGACCATATAACCACTGACACCAGAAACATTCTGGTTAGTAGGGTGCCAGTAAATGGCACAGTAAATATAAAGTTAAATTAACTACTGCTATTGAAGCTTGTGCTTTAGTATATAAATTGTTATAAAATTGGACAGAGTGTGGCCACTTCATTATCTCCAAGTCATTTGTTTAATTCAGTACAGGTACATCCCAGTGGTGCGAGGAGGAGGTGGCAGTGGCAGCCACCTTCAGGGAATCCTTCAGGGAATCCTTCAGGCCGAGATCACCTGAATTCCCTGTGGGCAAAGGGATGTTGTGCTGCTTCCTGTTGCTTCCCCCAGCCCAGGCCACTGCTGTGGGAGCCATTGGAGTGGCACAGCACAGGTGACACTGACTGCATGTCACAAGCACCCTCAGGGATTTGGTCAGGCTGTTGCCATCAGGCTGTTTTATGGAGCAGATAACACCAATTGCCTTATTTTGATCACTTCGGCTATGCTGTGTCCCTGCATCCCTGGTTTTGTCCTGTCACCCTGTGGTCCCACGGGAACTTGAGATTTGGATAGTGTTGCAGGACAGCCAGTCAGGACAAATTTATTGAGCAGGAGACGCAGACTCTTCAAAAGACAACATGAGCAGAATTGCTTGAAAGCTGACTTTTTTCATCAGTGAATTTCTCAGTCACTTCCACAGGACCTGCAGGTCGGCATATCTTGGGTAGAACCCTGAGCTGTGTCAGTACAACATGGATGGGAGTGGGCCAGCCAGGCAGGGGCAGAGGGAGTTTGCCATTGGGGTTAATTAACATGGGTGTTCACAACCAGTGCCAGCAGGGAAATTAATCCTGTGATACAGGCATTACTGTATCTAGTTTTAATAATATCTCTGAATGTCAGCTGCATGTGCCAGGCTCTGGTACCTGCACGTGTGTGAGAGCCGTGCTCACATGGGGCCTCAGTGTTCTGTCAAGTGGGGTTAAGCTGCTGAAGAATAAAGTCCATAAACTGTTTTATTTTTCTACCTTCTATTTTAAACACAAGTGCAGGTAAGGAAATTACATTCAACTCACATTTGATCAACTTCTATCACCTTTCCCCAAGAAAATGGTTGGAGTCAGGGGTGAAAGACRTAATGGGAAAACACAAAGACAACCTAGGAAGTTATCCAGCCCCCAGGCAGAACGTGCTAGTCATGTGTACAAGCAGTGTGCGCTACTAGTGAAGTTGAATTCTAGGTGAGATAATTTGAGACTACATAGTAAAGGTACACATTCATCTTCTTCCTGGTGAACTGAGGGAGCTGCTGGCAGTGGCCAGAGGCCAAACCTGACAGGCTTTTCTTTTCTGTAGAGTATGGACAGACCCCTTCCCAGTCAGGAATRAGCAGGAAGACGGTCCTGGGATGTACAGCACAACCTCTCCATGTCTGAATAGGATTGAAGAAAGAGGGCGGTTCCAAACCTATGCTTTTAACTTAAATGGCAGTTCAAATCATTTTGACTCTTACCTTGTTTCTTTGTAGATAATGAATTACTCTGTTCAGCTGGCTGGGTTGGCATTTTGCCTTCCTCTCCTTATTAGCTGATCCAAGTACCCATCTCAACTACACCTACCAGTCTTTTGACTTGGGCATGTCAACATGTGAAATCTCACATCCACAGCTGGTACAACTACTTCAGCTCATAGTTGCTCTCTACATTTGTCCATATATAATTCAAAAAATAAGGCTAAATGATGTTTCTACCAAGTGTCTACATCCCTTAAGATAAAACTGTTGTCCAAAAGTGTTGAAAATGGGAAATGTATTTCCTTCTGATAACATTCTGTCCCCTGAAGATATAATGCAATTGTTTTGAGTTGAAAATCAAATGAATACATAATTACCATACAAAAGCTTGCCACCTTTATTTGCATACAAAACAGAAATGAAAGAGGTTCACAATAAATTATTAGTGTGCTCCCATGGAACATACTTGTGTACTATTTTAGGTGAGTTAAGAAAACAATGGTCTGTTAATGTAAGAGATCTTTGCAAAAGGATAATAAGCCAGGTGCAAGGAAACCTGATGTATTGTTCTCCAGTGGATTTAGTCAGGTTATTCTGCTAGTAAAGCAATCCATCCAAAACAAACAGAAAATAATCAGCTGGGAAGAAATGGATAACAAAACGTTAATTTCAGTGAATGGTTCTACGTACACCACCTAGCCGGACACATTTCTTTAGATACAGCTTGAAGCGTGAACGGAACAGTACTCCAGAGAAAGATCTTCAAGTGACCTTTCATCATCATCTAGCACCAACCCACTAACATACTAAACTTCTGGCATGCAAGATAATTACCATTATTTGTTGTGTCAACTGGCCATGTACACTTTTTTCTCCTTTAACATAAGAGCCTGTAAACATCATCAGTGACAGGTGAGGCACCTGGACAAAAGGCCAAACACAGATGCACATAAAACGTTTCCCTTTTTGAAAGAGTTCACTGAGAGGGACTTTTTCCATTGGTCTCTGTGCGTGCTGGAGTCTTGGCGCTCCTTTTGGCTATCCTCCTTGCGAAGCGACTGATTCCCGGGGATCTCAGCTCAACGGCTTCCATCTCTTCTTGTACAGGAGTAAACTCTGGTTGAGCAAGATGAGGTGATGGATAGGACTGGGAGTATGGGGATGGTAAGGGGTAGGACCCGTGAACTACGTACGGCTGTTGCTCACCATCATAAAGGTCCTCGGGGTCATAGATTTGGTAGGAGTTATGTGGCAACTGCACTACTGGGATGTCTTGATCAGTTGGCTCACCGTATCCACCTTAACCCACCACCACCAAGAGTATTCATACGGTTAACACAGGAGAAGGGGAGTAGAAAATTAAAGCATTCATTAGGAAATTGACATTTTATATATAGATATATTTCTATATCATGTGTGTGAGTATATATATATATAATCTTTAAATACACATCTTTTATTCACATAAAGGAACAATGAAAACATTTAACAAAATTAATGAGCTGGAGCAATTGGAAACCCACCAACAGACAGCCAAGTTAGTTGGAAACCACCACCAGAATTTGTCAAATGTCCAGTTGTAATACTGTGCTCATTACACACTGCACACTCTGCCTGCTATAGCTTATTCCAATTATGGGCTAGAATACATGATTAGCAGGCAAAAACGGGTCAGGCAATAATGTTTAGCAGTGCCAGGAAGCCAAGTGCATGTACAGCAGCTGTAAGTTCATTAGTGGTAGTCATTATCGTTGCTGGAAAGCACAGAGCAGTTCAGCATCCATCTCTGACCTTCAGCCCAATGAGACCTGAACCAGAATGAGCCTTTCACCTTCTGGATTCGTAGCCATTGTAAGGGATTGGGCCTTAAAACAGGAAATGAACAATGGGGAGGGGAAGTGAGGAGAAAAGGATAGGAAGAGACGACAACAAAAACATTCAGGTAAGTAAAACATACAAATCAGCTCAGGGGCAGATTAAACTGTAAACATCAAACAAATAGGCCTTGTGTGTAACATTTGTGATGGCTAGTGCTTTAATAATAGATTTTGATTTTAGGTTGGATGATAATTTTCGGTAATTGCATTGCATTCTTCCCATGGCCTCTCCGTGCTATAAGGAGATGGGAAAGTAGGATACAGAGAAGGTATAGAAAGAATAATTTTCTCCAGGTGGCTTCACTGGTTAATGATGGACACGTGCATCCCCGTGCCAGGTTACACTACTACAAGTTTAGTAAAGGTCATGCTCTCATGCCACTCAGAGGCACATGGAAGGGGAGGTTGAGCAACACATTTGAAAAACTACAAAAGTAAAAACTGSTGTCACAAACATGAGGTGGTGAGGGTTCAACACAGACCACTGAGATGGAGCAGGCTCATACAACTACACAAACACAGGACAAAACCCACTAGACAGGATCAGTTTTACAGGCTGAGATCAGACGGTGATCACTTCTCTTTGGTCACTACGCTGGGTCACCTTCTCTCCGTGCTGCAGTCCCACAAAGTACAGCCACGCTGGACACGCAGGTTTTTAGGGAGCTGCCACATTTTAGCGCAGGATTCACCAGTAGCCTCCATCTCACTTGGGCTGTTAGAAAATGCCACCCCCACCTCTGCAAACAGCAGCTACCCCGACTCCTGGCTACTCACCTCCCATGCCATAGCCAGCGCAGGAGGACGGGTCACAGTACCCTGGAGGGCCAGCAGGACCCTGTGAGCCCGGGGGTCCCGTGTGCCCGGAGGGACCTCGTGGACCCGGAGATCCTGGTGGTCCTGGGCTGCCAGTTCGACTTTCTCCTGGAGGTCCTGTACAGAACAGSAAGATGAAACRYCTGASTAGTGTCTTCCATGAAAGCAGGGATTTGAGGTCATCTTTCCTGGCTTGGAACACATGGCACTGAGTGCGCTATAAACACTTCCAGGAGACAGCTTGAGTGGAGGAGAAAGGGATCCTGGCTCTGACTCCCCTGGGCAAGCTGAGGGAAAGACTTCAGCCTCTGGCCAGGAAGACAGAGCAGCAGCCTGAGAGGAGACCCGCTCCCAATGAGCCTCCTTTCTGGCTGCTGCTTCATCTTCCTTGCCAGACACAGCTTTTAGCCAGAACTAGAGCAAATGTTTCACCAAACATCAGACTTCTGGAAAGGGATTTTCACAKGGAAAGGACAGCCCTGGATGCCTCCACAGCTATAGATTCCTCCCGCTCCCTTTCAATGCAGTTTCTGGGTAATGCTGTGACTTGATACCAGTGCCTGATGGCCAGAATATCATAATGAAGTCAATGCAATTTTATTCCTGTTTCAACAAAACCTAGATATCACCCTCTCTGCTTTCTTAGGACCCAAATATAAATCCATGTGATATAATGTTCTTAATTACTATGTTTGTCTGTCAACTYACATTTAGGTATGACCTTGAGTCAGTGAGAAAATAAATGTAATTAGTCCAGATTAATTTTTTACCCTTCCAGAACCCATGTATGAAAAAACARATACTTAAAACATTGTTAAAAAGTGGGCTTGGAGAAGCAGTTTATCTTAGGGAAAGTGAAAATACTTGTGWGATGGGTGACACCATCATGAGGCACATCAAAACATGGTATTACATAGTAAGAAAATTATGACAATTAAGGTGCCTGAACCCTTCTGGTACTTAAGGAGAAAGACAGAGCTACTATAAACTGCTTCACACATGGGTTGGAGTGGTCTAATCCAGATGCCTCAAATGTAAATTTACCTGTGGATCCTGGTGGGCCTCGRGGTCCTTGTGTTCCAACACCTGGACTGCCTTTCTCTCCTTTCTCACCTGGTAAACCTGAGGAAATAGTACTGAGTCACATTCTGATCAAAACCTGTGAGCAGTGTTTATTATTTAACCAGGATTATAGTTCCATGTGTTATTTTTAATCTAAAAACAAATGGCAGAGAAGGAAGGAGGTGAAAATTAAAAATTATTTGGTTCTTTTTCCATCCCTTCCCTGACACCCTCTCAAGAGAAATGTCATTCCTGGGGTCTTAAACATTCCTGCTGCCACGGTGGTTTCATGAAGGTGGTATGCAGAGGCATCGGCCAGTTTCCTGGCTGCACTGCCTGCAGAAAGCTGCCTCTGGACTACACTAAGGTGYCACTGTTGTAAGTCAGAAGAGTCTTCCAGGCTTTGTAGCTATTTATAAATTACTGCGTGGCCCAGAAAAGTCAAATTTTTAGTGTTACAATGAATTTTCCTTCAAACATTCACCYGCCAAAGAATGGTTCAGCACAAGATGGTTCTACACATACATGGAGAGAGTTGTTACCAGTTATGGCAGAGTCTYGCTAAAACATGAGAAAAGTTTTTCACCACAGTCAAAATCTGACCCCAAATAAAGCCCAGTCCAGGGGTTTCCCAGTCTGAAACTCTGATATTCCAACATGCACAGCCAGTGAGTTCTCTTCCTGCACTTGCTCATGGGACTAAATATCTATCCCTGTGTCTGATCCATGGAGATCACAAAKCCAGTAATTCAGAGACTGCACTGCCTAATTCCAGCTTTCCATCTCCTTCTGCACTACCTCTGTGGCATCCCATAAAAACACTTTCTATATGCAGCCATCACAATAAGCAGTGTTGAACTAGAGTAGGTGTCAAAACTATAAATTCCAGACCCTGAGTTTCCACTGGTGACTTGGAAATTCTCATAAAGTCCGTGTTTGATTTGGATGGTTCAAAGACACCAAATCCAGGCTGGTTTGTGGGACTTCCCCCCCATTTTCCAGACCTCCCTCCCAGCACCGGTAATTGCTCTCCTGGCTTCACAGCTTCCCCACATTCAGAGTCAAAGCCTACACACAGCACCTTCATCAACACAGCAGAAAGAAAACAGCTGCTGCCCTGGATGGAGCAGTATCTACAATTTCTGCTGAGTGGGCTCCTTCCTTCCCCTCTGCTCAGGTTACTGCTGCCTCTTGGGGCAAAACAGCTGGAGAGCACCTCATTTTTGCAATGAATCAAGAATTACAGAATATGCTGAACAGGAAGGCACCACAAGGATCATCAAATCTGACTTCCAGCCCTACACAGGACCATCCCCAAGAGTCAAAGCCTGAGAGCTTTGTCTTGAGCTCTGTCAGGCTTGGTGCTGTGACCACTGCCCTGGGGAGCTGTTCCAGTGCCCAAACACCCTCTGGGTGAGGAAGCTTGTCCTTATATCAAACCTAAACCTCCCCTGACACAGCTGCAGGCTGTTCCCTCAGTTCCTATCACTGTCACCACAGAGAAGAGATCACTGCCTGCCC